GCTGACTCTGGCAGCTTCAAATTGTCCCTTGCCCAAGCTGCCCAGCAAGCAGGCACTAAAAGGTTTTGCAAATGCACAGTAGTAAGTTTTCCTTTTCAAAGCACCTCTGAGCTTCAGTGAAATCAGGTTGGACGACCCTCTGACCACATTTTCTTCAGGAGGTTTAGTCTGGCAGCAGATAGGCAGGTGACAGGTGTGTCATGCATTTTTGTGTCGGGATGAGGGATAAATTGTGAAGTGAATCTTGTGTGCACAAAAAAAAAAAAAAAAGTATCTGAAGACCACAGGATGATTGCCCTCTGAAAGTCAACAGCAATGCTGCTCTTGTGAGCAGCAGTCATGTTTTAGCAGACCACTGACTAAAAGCTTTGAATTAATTTTTATCCTGTTACCCAGGTTTAAATAAAAATACATGCAAATGGCTACTGACTTTTGGCACGTGCAGAGAAGGATGGAATAAAGCACACAATTATCTCCAATCCAAAACACTGGAGAAGTATATATTTACACTTGAAATTGGTGGGTTGCTTGCACTTCCTACTGGTAATCATACAACATTGGTTTGTCTTCTGCAGCTCAGGTTGGATAAGCTGTGATGAAAAATGCCTTGTGTGGGTGGCAAAGCATGACAAGGGCATGGGCAGGGACTTTGGGATTCCTGTTATTTCCATTGTTGGTTTGGTCTGGTTTGAATCACCCCTGTCTCCAAATTAGCTGCCTACAGATGTGTAATGCTGTCACAATAAGCATGCCAGCCATCTGCTGTGGATGGAGGGATGGATGGACAGGTTGACATCAGAACGATAGAAGTGACACTGTTTGCAAAATAACCTCAGCAAAAAGAATAAAATGAACTGAAAAAAATACTTTGCCCATTGAGTCCGGTAAAAATAGAAAAATGCTGCATTGGAGTTGAGGTACTCCAGCAAATCCTGCATCTTGGTCTGGGGCACAGAATTACACCTTTGTTAGTTAATTAAGCACAGCCAGGATCCATTCTGGCCACAAAACCAACTGACAAGTGCTGGCCACATCCCCACTACTAAACACTTTCACCCCCAGTACAGAGCGGTTGCATCCAAGCTGCCCACTGGGGATGGTCTCTGGCCAGTGTCAACATCTGTGCAAGCTGTGCCCTTGGACTCCTTGGAGTGGGTCAAAACCATGCCAGGGAAGGTCTGAACAACATAGCAGTGGGGGTGGTGGAGCCCTCATGCCCTGGCTTTGCCCTAGCATGCCACAGTTGGCTGGTTTAGGTGATCCCAGAGTGAATCTAGCAACACAAACATGCCAGAGAAGTTGTCTGCTGATCTTGTGATGTGAATAAATACGGACTCAATCTTCTTCATCACAGTTTCAAAGGGCCCTTTCGTAGTATCTTCTGGCAAGAAGGTGGGACGTGGTATAACTAAGCTACAAGGGAGAATCTGAGGAGTTAAAAACAAGTGAAATCAAAACAAGTCACTGACCATTCTTCCAAAGTGCATACCCAAAATCCAAGAGACCCTGGGCAAAAAAAAATCAAAACAAAACAGAAGGTGAGGACTAGAGTCAGAATCAGGATTCGTACCAATAAAGAACTGGGGGTAATTTTCCTCCCCAAGCTTTTGGCTTGACAAAAGGCGCTGTTTGGCAAAAAGATCACAGATAATCCCAAGAGGAAACAGTCACCACACCAAACAGTTCACCATGAACTCACTGGGTGTAGTGGTAGAGCACGTGCTTTACGTTAAGGCTGTAACGAAGTCCTTCAAAGAGAAAACAGTTCTTCAAGGTTGACTCATGCTCTCACTGGAAATCTTTTGCTCCATCAAGATGCCAGTGGATATAATTCCAAGAAAGGACTAATAGCCCAGGCAGAAAGTTTATGCAATGAAGTGTAATGAAACAGTTTTAACAGGCAGTGGAGGCACCTGCCTTTGTTGTTATCCACACTACGAGCCACGAGGAAGGAGGACTTCAGAGCAGAGGTGTGTCAAGCCCTTAGTCAAGCTGGTTTGGTTGTGAGAAATTAGCACTGCATTGAGAGGTAAGGTCACTTCAAGAGTGTTTTGCCCCTCCATTCCCATAACAGGATGGAGAGGACAGCTGTTGGTGTGGTGGTCTGGAGCAAAGGTCCTGTTCCTGAGGGAAGGCAGGATGCAAATGCTCGTGAGAGGCAACACTGAAGGGTCTTCTCCTCGACTCCTGATGAATGTTCCTTGGCTCGTTGACTCGTTTCATTGTCCCGGTGCAAGGCGGCAGGGTCCGGCTGTTCAGTGGGGCCAGGGAATGGGATTACATCTCCAAACCAGACCTCAAAGTTGGTAAGTTTGTGGAGGGGGTGCTTCTCAAGGTGTTTTTGAAAATGAAGGTACTATCTCCTGGATGAAAGGTCCCAGAGGAATAGCAAGGTTGTTTGTCATCCATTCCTTTCCCATGCTTATGCCAATGAAATGCAGATGAGTAGAGGAGAGCTCTTCACTGAAGGACCAAGGAGAGTTTTTACACAGGGCATGAGTCTTAGGGAACTGGATCAGAATAAGTCTACACTAGTATTACAGCTAAGTCAAAAACAAGTCCTGGGAGCAGAAATGCAGGCCTGTTGCTGGAGGATGGGCACCTCTGTGTTTTTATGTTTCAGTAGGCGGGGACAGCAAGTTCACTTCACAAGATACCTCTTTTTATAGAGACAGCACAGTGATTAGGGAAGAAAGGGTGAAATGTTAGTAGGACACTTGAGAAGGGACTGGTTATGGGACACAGACAATGAAGAACGGAAATGAAAGGTTTTCACAAATATATATGTGTGGGTATATATATATATTTCTGTGCACAGTAAACAAGGGATGGGGAATTTAGAGATAAGGGATGACAAGACAAAATCCCTCCCTTTGCGTGAAAATGTGACCATCATATTGGTTGTAATCAGAGCCCAGAAACATTTGCCTGAAATGGAGTTTGACTGGGAATTACAGTACCAGTGACAATTTGGCTTCTTATAAACTTTGCCGTGTGTCTATAGTTTGGCGTGAGTCCTGCCCTCCTTGGAAAGGACAGGCACTAGTTAAAAGTTTTCTTTACAAAACAAAATGAAACAATTAAACAAAGCTCAACGTTTTCTCAGAGTACTGCAAAGGATCACTGATTGAAAAAAATGTTTGTCTTCAGGTATATTCAGGCGAAGAAAGCATTCAGCTTCTTTGAACTGTTATATAAAATTGGTACTAGTTTCTTTAAATACTATTATAATTTAAAAAAACACAACTGATTCCTCAAAATTAAAAAAAAAAAAAATCATAATAATAATTAAAAAATATCCCCCCCATGCTGATCTTCTGTTCAGAATAGGTCAGCATGGGAGTTTTGCACCCTAGACAGTTACAGTATTTCTGGAATAAAAAATTGCAATTACACACAGAAAATACTACAGCATTCACTTAAAAATATCTTGGTTTGTTGTTGTTGTTTTTTCCCCTCCCAAGTAGAGGGATGGTGGGATTGAAAAGATGCCCTGAAATGGGAATATTCCTTTAAAGGAGCAATACTCTCAATACAGAAAAGGTTGTCGGTTAAGATGCAAACCCGTGATTTAACTCGAAACAAGAGATTCCCAGCACAGAAACAGAATTCTAGAGATGTGGATATTCAGACACCAAGCGGGTTATTTGGAAATGTCAAGACAACCGCGCAGCCCTCAGCAGGTGACCATCTAGGCTTTGCCATGATCGGAGGTGGCAGCATCTCCTTGCGGTGGGAAGGCTAAGCGCTCTCGCTACACTCTTGAATTTCCTCTGGTGGTGTTTCTCGCCATGTACTTACAGTAGAGGGTGACCCGAGACAGTTTTTATCAGCAGTTCCCCACATGTACTGAGTTGAAGAATTCTCAGCTAAATCACAACAACAACATCAACAAAAATACAAAGCACCAAATCATCTCAAGATGTGAGTCAGTTTACAGGTTATTACCGTTTGAAGAAGTTTGTCGGTTGTTTTGTTGTTGTTTGGTTTTTTTTGTGTGTGTGTTTTGTTGTTGTTTTTTTAATCCCGATTTTCATGTTTTGTTTTCCTTAAAAACAAAAACAAACCAGAACAAAACAAAAATCAAAACCCAAAATCCCCAGAATGGAACAAAGGATGCTTTACAATCACTTTAAGGCTCTCACTGAATGAGACATGACAGGTCTTACACAAGATTACAAATAATGGATGCCTTTCACAGCCTTAAAATGATACAGTAGGTCAAATTATTTTGCCAGTCACTGATCAAGTATTGTGCCTTTAAATTGACTCGCTTTTTGCTACTATGCTGAGTTTTATTATTACTGAAATAGCTATTAGATATGCAAAAATGTACTTTAGGATCATGGTTTTGGTACGTAATTTCAACATTTGCAAATTTCTTATTTTCCAGAAATCAAGGTGGCAGGTTTTATTCTGGGCTCAGATGGTTGGTATTTACTCTACTGAAGACAGTGGAGCTTCAGCATGTGCAATTGTTGGAAGCAAGATCAGATACTGTTTTCCATATTAATCTGGTGCAAACTGACCATTACATGTGGCCCGTTTACAAGGGGGAAAAGGTTGCATGGTGGGATGGCCTTTAGGACACGACCTGGTCAAGGCTCGCAGGCTCAGCCAAGTGGTGTTACAAATGCTTTGCCAGATTGAGTTACAGACCTGATTTTATCTTTCAACTGTTGGAAAAATCAGACTACATTTGGGTGTCTTGGCTTTGCTTTCTTATCTTTAGACATTTGGGTTTAGGTTTTTTTTCTGCTAAATCCAATTTTATTTTCCATACATTTATCTCTTTTTGTTGTTGTTAATTTTTTTCTTTCTTTTTTTTTTTTTTTCCTTTTTTTTTCTTTTAAGGTTTGTATTTCAGTTGATTGGTTTTTTTTCCTGGCATATAATAATCAAAGAGTTTTGCATGAGAAAGGTGACAGTACTTAATGAAACTCAGCACCTAAGGGCATAAGGCAGTTGTAGGTTTGTTTGTTTGTTTTTTTATTTTTCAATCAGCACCAATCCCATAAATAATGTTCTACACTTGGTGTACGGTATAAAACTGATGTGGAGATGCCTCCTTCTCCACCTGTGAATCCTAGGTGTGGAAGTTGAAATACTGTTTCTTGTGTGTAAAAAACAAAAGAAAAGTTTTTCTTTTTGTTTTTACTTACAAAACATAGAGAATATCTTTTTTTTTTTTTTTTTATACATACAGCAACCAGAAAGAAAGCTTATCTGAAGGTTTGTGTTTGTTTCATGATCTGTGTTTACCGTAAACAAAAATAAGGTCCCCTCTTTTACTTTTGCTCTAAGGAGCTTTTAAAGTGAAGATTCATATTGTAGCAACTCATACAAGAGAGGTCCATCTCTATACCTAATACCTACAGCTGTGGGGGTGACATACTGGAGGATGTTGATAGTTCTTCTTAACCTCCTGTCTACAAAATGAGCATCCCATGCCGGATATCTTTTTCTTGGGATGTCAATCTTAATGAGAGGCCCCTCGGGGGGGTAGGGTCGCCCAGATGGAGTAGGTGGTACCATTGCTCTCACCTGGAAAACGGGCAAGCAAGTGTCAGCTGTGAGTTCCTCCTGTTGCTCCGTGACCGCTCTGGTGGGCGTAGCCTGAGCCCCCCGGTACCCAGGGGTTTGGGGCGCCATGGGCTCAACATCGGGGGGCAAAGGAATGCCCCAGAGCAGCTCGGCGCAACAGGAGCTGGCAAAGATCTTAGCTCTTGGCCCCATGGGATGCAGCACACCATAATATAACAGCATCAAAGCTATCCCAGCAGCAAAGCTAAGAAAGACACAACACAGTGCTGGCACGGCATATGAGTCAGTAGTGTCAGGATCTCTGTAAAAATACCAAAGGAGCGTCAAGGCAGCGTTCTCCGTCAGGACCACCGTGTAATACGCAAACATTCGGTATCGAGTCCGCCCTTCCTTGACATTAAACCAGCAGAAAATGTACACAATCCCTACCACCATGTTGAAGAGGATCTCCTCCCACTTAGACATGCAGAAATCTGTCCCACCATGGATGATCCAGAAAGCCATGGCACACCAATGGACCACTACAAAGATCCCAAAGTAGAGCTGGAAGATGGAAGCAAAGAGAGCAAAAGAAATAACTCGGGATGAGATGGTGAAGAGGCGCCAGAAGAGATGGATGAGGGCCCCTCTGTAGCTCATACTCTTCTTGTCGTCCCTAGAGTCCCGAAGAAGCTTGTGATAGGAGGCTAGCACCCAAGCCAGGGACATCAGGGAGGCCACAGAGGACACACCTGCCGGAAGACACACAGATCCACTGAGTTAGACAGGAGGTTTGGTTGAAAACATCATCTGCTCACTAAATATTGCATCTGGGGCAGGCTCAGAAGCCCAACGGTTCAACTCGCGCCAGGTTGTCCTTGTCTAGAGGAGAGAAATACAGAAATATCAGTGGGGGAACTGGAAAGTATGCTGCACTCAGGAGTTCTGACACAGCCCATTATGATTATCTTCATGAACTACCGGCTCTGCCACCCCACCACAGCTCTTCTCTTCTTACAGGCAACTGTCTCTGTCCTCATCCTGATTCAATCACATGTGAGAATTTGAAATCCAGATCCCATTCAATATCTACAGCCCAAGTATGAAGGTCACTTTCTCTAGAAAGGGCTCTATGATGGGGTGCAACATTCAAGAGCAGGACATCTATGTTCCTTGTAATGTCAGGGATCTTTTTTTATCCTAAAATACTTTCATACAGGTATTCTCTTCTTACAGGCAACTGTCTCTGTCCTCATCCTGATTCAATCACATGTGAGAATTTGAAATCCAGATCCCATTCAATATCTGCAGCCCAAGTATGAAGGTCACTTTCTCTAGAAAGGGCTCTATGATGGGGTGCAACATTCAAGAGCAGGACATCTATGTTCCTTGTAATGTCAGGGATCTTTTTTATTCTAAAATACTTTCATACAGGTAACATTCATACTGACTTGCACTTGATTCTGCCTTAATCAGGAATCCCCATTTGCATTCACCTTTGAAATAAACAGGCAGTTGATCAGCTTTTTTGACACCCTGTTGTCCTATGCAGATAATATATAAAAACAGGGAACATCAAGACTCATCAATACCCTCCAAATGGTCCTAAAGCAAAGAATCTGATTCCTGCATTCTTTCCAGGAGGGATTGAAGACCTATATGGGAGGTAGGTTATCTCCAGACTTGTCTTCTGGATGAACCACAGATCCAAGGTGCAGTCATGTCTTCAGCCCTGTCTCTAGCCCTGTCTCATTCTGCTCCTGATGAGACACCCTGGAGGGACCTTGGATCTGGTATATACCCTTGCCTTGTCTTGGTCTGCTGAGGGAGCCACAACAAACATGTAGCTCTGCCCTGTGTACTCAGCCCCTGTGGTTCTGCCCCCATCAATCAGGGCACTGTCTACTCTGGTGTCACCCTCACTTCCCAGTTCATCCCCCCCATTCCCTGGCATGGGACAGGCACCTCATTATATTCCAAAGGGGCTTGATCTTATTTCCCATCCCAATCAACACTATTTATTTGCTCCAATGAATAAAATAAAGCCCTGTCACACTTCAAGAGCTTTTAGAAATACACCATTGATTATCACAAGGGGAAACTGCACAACTCATTGAGCAAAGCATCATAATCAAAATTAATTGACAGATTCCTGGGAAAAGAAAAGGCCACTGGCATCTCATTCCTTTGCTCCCACTGCTGTTCACTGGACAACGGCTCTGCAGGTGAGGGAACAGATGATCAGCTAAGATCCATGTTTGGAAAGTGAAATAATTTGGTAGCTATACTTTGACTGAGCCTTTGCCAAAGATTTCTCTGGGAGCATCACCTATAAAATATACAGAGAAAATGCTAATGGGTTTTAAGCAATACAAACACTGACAAACACCCTTCCATCTCTGATGTGTAACGTACTGGAAAACAAGTCCAGCTCTATTTTGCTTTTACTACTTTAAGAAAACCCAAGGATCAACTTGCTGCAGCTGCTCAGGGTTAAAAAGCTAAAATGTCTGAAACCCCTAAATTTAATCTCCTCCTGTTGTCTTATCACTTTTCCCTCTGCCCACAAGGATCTTGCTCCCATGGGGATGAGAGGAAGATGCCTTGGCTCTGCAGGTCTCACTGTAAAGACTTCCTTTGGAGCAGTCCACACCACAGTGTGGTGGGGTTAGATTCCCCACTTCCAGCCTAGGTATGTCCAGAGGAGACATGATGGAAAAGGTGGCCAGGAAGGATGGCAGATGTCCATCTCTGCCCCCCATTGAAATTAACCCAGCCTGCAGGTCCACCAAAACTGTGCCCTTTCACCAGCACTCGAGCCTCTCAACACCTTGCCTTTGGGCTCACACACCTTAGCACTTCAGACTGAATTTTAAAAAACAACAAAGCACAAACCAGTATCAGTGGCCTTATCAAAGAAGGAAACTTTAGGCCATCATCTTGGAAAAAAACAGTTTTCCCCAAGTTTTAAATAAGAAACACTTGCATATAGGACTTGGCAGCACTAATAGATGGAAACTTCTGAAAGTTGGGCCTCAGCCCCAAACAGAGGTAGATTTATTTTTAACCTGCCAGGTGTGTGACATTTTTAGCAGAAGTAACAGTTTTGGAATGCCATGCCATTGTTAAGGGAAGTGTTGCTATGTGTGTAAGTACTGTTTGTTGCAGTATCTTCTCGATATTCAGGTTTAAAACTTTCCATTACTAGAAAAAAAAAAAAAAAAGTCATGCATTGTCTTCTTTTAGTGCTATTACACTAGAAAGTCATACAGCATTAGCTGTACCTGCATACCGAAACTCAAGCAGTGCCAACCCACGAGGGACATGTGTCACACTGGCTTAAAAATGTTTCTATTGGGTTGATTTATTCTAGAATAGAGAGAGGAATAAAATACACCAGCAACAAAAACCCAGTGTACACATAAAGGCTCTTCCCACTGTAATGTTTTCAGTGCAGAAGCCTACAGACATGACAGCCATTGCTGTAAACTGCACCGAGCTGGCTGGGCGTGTGTGCATTGAGTCACTCATCTTGCACAGCCCCATGCCTGCTGATAGTCATCTGAACGTCTCCTCGAGTCAACAGAGAGAGGCAGACACCCCCAGAAAGTGATTCACCCCGTCCTAAGATCCACGTGTGGGACAAGCGGGGTTGACTCACGCTCTCAAAGTGTCTGTCTCCCTTGACAGGGGAGTGTGGGGACTTGCCAACACCAGCAGTCAGGCAGGATGAGTCCTACCCTTACCAAACAGTTCATGTCCTCCTCATCTGCACTAAGATCTGAGGGGGGGATATTAAGCATCTGTAGAATTTTTGACATATTCCTGCCATTGTCTAAAAATCCATGACTCTGTGGCAAAGGTGAATTTTGGCATCCTAGCAATGAGCAGGATGTGTACCTGGGTGTCAGGGGGGTGCAATGAGGTGGACATCAACAGGAACCATGGAGCAATATGAAGGTTTCTGCAGTACTTCTTACTGTGTTGCTACATATTTTTTTCCTTGCTTTTTCATACAGACTTAAATGACAAAGTAAGCCTTGGCTTTTGTCATCTTGACCATGAGTTTCTCATTCCCATCTTGTCCTGTTATCTCTAGCCTGCGACATCTTCATACAATGTACAGTTTTCACAGACTGTGGGATAAACTTTTCTTTCTTTTCCATTTTTTCTGGGCCTTATTTCTAAGCAACTATAGAGACATCTCCAATTATAGCTGGAACAAAAAGTCCTGACAAATTGGATCACATGGGAAATAGTTTTTTAATTTTGATTTCAACTTTCGCACATGGTGACTGACGCACCTTCATCCAGCATGAGTAGGTTTCAACTCCCTTCCAAGGTTTGTTTATCAAAGTTTGTTTGGTTCAAAACTGAAGTCACTTCCAAAAACCCACTCCCACTCCTCCCACTCTGTGCTTAGTATTGAGAGTGGAAAATACCTGCCATGCATTGCCACCTCTCTGTGGGCATTCTCCAGCCAGGAGGACATCAACTACCATGGGCTGGATGCCCTATGGCTGCATCTGTGGGATCTGTATCCCAACTATTTGTAAAAAGTGAGAGTGGCGTAAACTGAGGTGATCTTCAAACTCTTTGGACCAGGCTGTACAACAGCTCTTGAACTCCTCCTCTCACCTGCTAGAAGCAATGAGTGACTCACAGGTCATAATCAGCTCCATTGAAGAGTCAAGCCCATGTGTCTTGAATGACAGAATTAGTTCCACGAGTCCTCTTAGTAATGTCTTCTCAAGCCCTTTGGTGAGACACCTCCTAACTTACATTCAGCATAGTGAGACAGAGCTCTATGATGTCCCCATTTGGCAGAAGCAGCACTAAGATTTGAAGGATTAATCCAAGGTCTCATATAAAATCTGTGCTACAGCAGGGAATCAATCTCTATCACATCACTGGGTTCCTTGCATTTCAGGCAGAATTCAGCTTCTACTATAGAGATTCACCCTGTGGTGTCCACTGGTGAGTGACATCTCTTTACTCAATGGAGAATTAAGACTTAGTGCAACCATAACAGATGGGAAACCAGCAACATTTGAGATGCTGTAGGATATCCCAGACCTCTGTATGGAGCTGGCAGATGTAACAAACTTGTATAGAGAAGACAGGAATTTGCCATTTGTCCCATTTTCGAGGTGGGAGCTGGAGTGAGGCAGGGTAATCAGGGCATCTAAAATGATGCTAGGCAGAAGTCAACCAAATTGTTTCTTCACCCAGTGGAGCCAGAGCTGTATGAAGGTCATTGTTTAGACTCTGTGGCTGTGTTGCCCATATCTCCACTGAATGCAAGGGAAGCCTGGACATTCCCATCATGTGGAGACACCTCCATTGAAGACACCTTTGTTTAGGTGTCTGAACCTGGAGTGGAACTTGTCCATCACCTTGAACTTCCTTGATGTTGACTTGAGCAATCTGGTCTAGTGCCCCTTCCCATGGCAGGGGGGCTGGAACTAGATGATCCCTTCCCACCCAAACCGTCCTATAATTGTATGATTCTTGCCATAGTAACTCTGCCTTTCTCAGGGGGTAGCTAATGAACAGTTGTCAGTGGTAAACACGTGTCATGGAGACTAAGCACCAGTAAGTGGTGAAGAGAAAGGAGAAAGCAGTGGAAAATAAGGCAGCTACAGAAAAAGTTAAACTTTCTGAGAAGAATGTCAGACCAAGGAATAGAGTCTCTGAGAAGGGGAAACTAGCCATTTCCTTAGATCATGAAAACAGGAGTGGACTAGAGTAT